GGATGGTGTGTGCTGGTGTGTATTGCTGTGTGCTGGTGTGTGTTGGTGTGTGATGGTGTGTTGCTGTGTGTTGGTGTGTGTTACCTGGATGGTGTGTGTTAGTGTGCTGGTGTGTGTTGGTGTGTGATGGTGTGTTGCTGTGTGTTGGTGTGTGTTACCTGGATGGTGTGTGTTAGTGTGCTGGTGTGTGTTGGTGTGTGATGGTGTGTTACCTGGATGGTGTCTTCCAGCCTGGTGTACCTGTAGTTGGGGGGGTCCAGGCCTCGCAGCAGGCAGGAGTGAAGGTGGTCTCTGTGGTTGATGAAGTGTCTCGTCATGTTCAGCTGCTGTTTCAACATTTCATTCAGAGCAAACACAACCGGGCTGAAGCTGCTGATGGCTGACAGACAAACAACAAGTCAACATTACGACACCAGTAAATAAAAACACTTGTTGCTGGCTTTTTAACAAATAATAAAGAATTACAGATTTGATTCAGTTATTTTTAGTTTTATCAGTTTAAACCAGATGTTTAAACATGCTGTATAATAAAACTTCTTTTTTTGTCTCTGACATTACATCAGAATAAACCTTTCATGTTTTAGGCTGGTTAGAAATTATTCTGGGAACTTTCTTTGCTGAACGCCCAAACAATGAAGGAAAGCTCACATTTTCTTAGTATTTGGAAGCATTGTTTTCAAACTGTTTGACTTAATTTTTCTTCCACAAACTTCTCAGTATTTTGATGTAATTTTGCTCCGTTCCTCCTGCAGAACTGAGGCAGGTTTGTAGCCATTATGCTCTCACACAGCTTTTTAACTCTGTCCACAAGTATTAAAGTATTTATGGGACTGAGATCAGAGCTTTGTGATGGTCCCTCGAAAATATTGACTCTGTTGTTTTTAAAGCAGACATATGATGCTTTTAAATCCTTCTTATCACATTTAAACCACTCAGTTGGGGTCTATACAAAGTGAATGCTTTGATCTGAATTCCTCCTTATTGTAACTCCAGAAGCCCCTCTTGAGGTGTTAGCCTGAAGAGAAAGAAGACCACCTAACTATAGTTGGAAAGTCCAGAACTTCTATCTGTTTTGCAGCAAATATTGTGATGCAATTTTTCTGAAAACATCATAAAGACTGAACAGGTTGAAAAATATGGTCCAGACAGAATATAAAGATAACTACGCAGCACCAGGACAGATTAAATCCATATTTTCTGCACTCAGACTCCAAATACACAACAAAATGTTTTTAAAGGATAAAAAATTGTATTTTGCATGATATGTCCCCCTTAAAACCACTGTGTAACTAAACTGTCAGCACCCTTCAGGTACTGTCTGTTTTGAACTTCCTGGATAATGTTTTAAGATGCTGCTTCAACATTTCCACAGAATGTTCTTTCCTCATGGTAATATCTACTTTGTGAAGTGCAGTAAAACATCCCCACAACATGTTGCTGCCTCCCCCGTACTTCACAACTAAATGGTATGAACTCCGCCCCTTTTTCCTCCAACTGTCATGATGGTCCTTTTGTCCTTTTATCACACCACAGACATGTCATCAGTTTTAGATGTACCGTGATTACTTTTTGAAAGTTTCGTTTAAAGGGATCCCTGATTAGTTGTAACATTAGACTTTATATGATAAACATTTACTTTAACTGTAAAATAAAGACTGTCAAAATACTGTAGGGTGTTCAGTTTTTATAATTTTTAAACTAAAAGTTTAAAAATATATTACACGGTCGGGGAAATTTCATTTACATGCAAAGCATTCTGGGTAAATGATGACATCAACTAGGTCATCGGTGCGAGGCTGCTAGCGAGCTGTATCCACCCTGAAGGTTAATCTTGGACAATATCTGATGATCGACTCTTTTAAATGAAACCAGAGAGCGTTGACAGAGAGGAGAAGGTAGAAATGACTCAGCCTGTAACTGAAAATATGGATGGAGGACCTCAGTTTAGCCTGTTAGTCTTTGCGCTAGCACCAACACTATATTGCCTTATATGTATTAGCTCAGTGCTAGTGCTAAACTGAGGTCCTCTATCCATATTTTCAGTTACAGGCTGAGTCATTTCTACCTTCTCCTCTCTGTCAACGCTCTCTGGTTTCATTTAAAAGAGTCGATCATCAGATATTGTCCAAGAT